GGATGGGCCATTAGTAATAATACTGTAGTTATAGAGGCATGGGCTAAAACAAGGGACTTCCTGTAGAAAAGTAGACTGCGCATGCTATGTACATACCTGATAAATTAATTTTACAAGGCTGTTATCTCCCTGTCTTGTCTACAGGCTTGCTATGCAGCATCAGCTATTGGATATCTAACTGGGAGGTGAGATATTTTGTAGACTTAGTACTTTATTAATACTCTCTGGCAGTCTTGGACTGAGTTAATCAATGGGTCCAGTGTGTTCTCTTAGTAGAACTGTTTGTGTTTCAGTCCCTTTTCTTTTTTTAATTTCTTTTCTTTTCTCACAGCACCAGTTGCTGGCTTGTGATAGCTGCTTCATAACATGAGCAATAAAAGTAATGCTTTATTTATTGCTCGTGAGTTTTAAGTATTTATTATTTGCTTATTAGTCATCACATTTATTAATCTCCAAGTGGCCAGCCTTTCATCAACAACTTTCTTATTTGTTGCTCTGTTATATATTTCTATTTTTACCCTGATAATTAATTGTATTGATTTGTAAATCATTTTAATACTTATTACATCTCCTTTGAACAGTGTACAATGTAAAATGAACTTTTTGATTTTTGTTGCAGACCTGGTGTTTGCCTTGTGGTTTCTGGACCAGGATTAATACATGCCCTGGGTGGAATGGCAAATGCCATGAGTAACTGCTGGTTAGTGTGCAAAATATTATTCAGACTGTGCACTTTATATGGGACCTTGTACAAACTTGTCAGGAGACTGACAAGTTTGTCACTCGTGCCTAAGCCATGAGAGTTGGCAGGTAGATAATGGCGATTTATATTGTTGGTGTTTTGTCTTCAGGCCAGTTTTAGTGATTGGTGGTTCAAGTGATGTTGATCAAGAAAGCATGGGTGCTTTTCAGGAATTTCCACAGGTACAGAAGTATATTTAAATAAATATGATAATTATAATTATAGCTTGACTGTCATACGTGTAGGGAACATATATCTGGGTTAGATTTTCTGGAACATTTAATTCATGCTTAAGCGGTAATCCATGGATCAGTTTAGATGCATGCAGGAGGTTTCAAGAGCACAGAAGAAGTGCAAAAGTTGCTTGAGGCAGAGCCAGCATCAACTCTTTAGCTTCTTGAGTCCTCTCCAAATGTGGCATATCTTAATGTAACTGCATCACAACTTGATGATGACTATGGGGCCATTGCTATCTCTGGTTTCTATAGTGTGAGGCTACTAGGAATATTTCTACTCCCCTTCTGCATGAGATTCTAGATCATCACAGTGATTACATCCTAGCATTAAATTTGTCGGTACCCATTATCAATACACCTGGGACAAGAGAGGCTTTGCAAGAGTAAAGTGTCTTGCCTAAGAACACAGCACAACAACCCTTGCCTTTGGTTGAGTCTTAACCAGTTGATTCAGAGTCCACCATACTAATCATTAGGCCATCACAGTCCTCCCTCAAAAGTATCTACAAATATCTAATATCTACAACATAATTGTTATAAATTTGCTGCAAATTGTTCCAGGTTGAAGCAGCAAGACCTTATGCCAAGTATTCTGCAAGACCAAGCTGTGCAGGCGAGATACCATTCTTTGTTGAAAAGGTGAACGGTCATTGTGAATTGGAGCAGTAAATTATGAAAAATTAATTTGTTACCTTTCTTGTTTTATTCAGCGAATTGCATAGTACACATTAGAATGTTGCATTTTCTGAAAAGAAAAGTCCTTAATGAGGAGTCACTCTTGGGAACAATCAAATTAAACCTGATAATAGATTTCTACCTAATTTTCACTAGTTTCCTAGGCTGTGCGAACAACTATATACGGTAGACCAGGAGCTAGTTATCTGGACCTGCCAGGAAATATGATCACAGAGAAAGTGGCAGCCTGTAAGGCAAGGTGACTTATAAACTGTTAGAGTATAAAATGTGCACCAATTTTCTAACTTGTTAATTCTCAAGAGTGATCAACATCTAGTTTTTCCTTACAATATCAATTTGGTATCTGGCAGTAAGCTCATGAGAATATTACAGAAAATCATCAACTTGAGGATATCATCAAATTTCCAGAACTAGTGTCAAGTCAGGGATGTAACTACAGTGGAACCCCATTAATCCGGTCACCAACAGGCCACGAAAATATGGCCATATTAACAGGGTGGTTGTATTGAAGAGGTTCTTTGAAATTCAATAAGGAAATGACTGAGTGAGACTGAGCTTTTGTTTGGGCCAGAATAAAGTGGCTATAATAATTAGATAGCCATATTGACTGGGTGGCAGTAAAGCAGGTTCCACTGTATGAAAATTAGTGAGGGAAGTTTAATAGATACTTTCAGGTTTGAGTGACAGGGTATACTATTTTCTTCAAAGGTCAATTCGTCGTTCTCCAGCTCCTCCAAAGTGTCTTGCAGATCCATCTGCAGTGGAAAAAGCAATCAAGGTTCTTAGTGAAGCAAAGAAGCCTCTTGCAATAATTGGCAAAGGTAAATACACAAAAGATACAATGTAATTTCTGTTTAGAGGCATGGCAGCAGCTCATAAGTTAGATTTTACTGTGGTAGGGTCTTGACTGTGTTTCATGTTTTATTTTTTATACAGTTGATTTCATTTCTTTATACAGGTGCAGCTTATGCACATGCTGAGAAGCCTCTTCAGGAGTTTGTTCAGAGATGCAAGTTACCATTTCTCCCCACACCCATGGGGAAGGGAGTGATTTCTGATGAACATCCCCTGTGTGTTGCAGCAGCCAGATCAAAGTACATTTTATTAGTTCCTAGTGTCATACAAGCACAATGCGTGCACAACCACATACACTGTATCAAGGGGCTCTCTTCTTCCCAACCCTCCAACCCCCTCAAGTGAGAGAGGATTAGAACCCTCCTCCCTACCCTGTTAGAGACCCTAGGAACAAGGTTGAATGTACACATGCAAAGGTTACAGGTGTATACAGGCCATTGCATCCTTTGTGGTCTCTCCACAAATTGTGTCTTTCATGCTTCCATGTAGCTTCTCCCGAAATTTCCATACAGCTGTTAATGTTGCCCACAGTCACCTGTACAGGATTGATATGATACAATACAACAACAGTGTAACCAAGCTCATATACATGTAAGGAGTGATATATTATTGAGCAATTGCTTAAGATTGTTGTTCATGAATTGTTTTGTTTGTTTGTTTTTGTTTGTTTTTTTCTTCTTTGTCAGAGCCTTGTCTCAAGCTGATGTGATATTTCTGTTTGGAGCAAGATTAAACTGGATTCTGCATTTTGGGAAACCTCCGAGGTTCAAAGCTGATGTTAAAATAATCCAGGTATTGGACATTTAGATTGTTCAAAGAAGACAGTTTTTCTAGTTAATTGATAAAGTGTTATCTCTCCTCTAGACTGAGATTAATTTCTGCATGACATATCAAATATTATATTCTCGATAGTACATTATAATTATTAAGTTAGCTTTAATATAAATTTAAGAGAAGTTCAAGTTTAGTGTATAAACATGTAAAAACAGTTGAAGTCTGGTAATTGTAAATTAATATCTAAATTACTAGTGAATTTTTTTGTTACCCATAGATTGATCTTCATGCAGAGGAAATGGAAAACAATGTTTCTGCAGAGGTTGCACTTTTAGGAGATTTGAAGAGTGTAGCAGAACAGGTACATTGTCACTGCCTTGTGCCTCTCTCTACCCAGGTGTATAAATGGCTACCAGTGAATTTAATGCTGGGGGTAACCCTGCAATGGACTAGCATCCCATCAAGGGGGGAGTAGCAAAATTCCTAGTCACTTCATGCTATAGGAACCGAGATAAGCTCCGGCCTGATGAGCCACTTGGCTCATATGCAGACTTTTAATTACCTACCTTTCTTTTACATATTTGATCCAAGTGTGTTCACTTAATAGTTAATTCCCATCACTAATGTTATCAAAGGGACATTAATTATGCGGTGAAATATCTTCAAAATGAAATTATGTTTTTTCAAATATTGATTAAATGTGTCAAATATCTTCTTTTTTATTGGCCCTAACTGTAATAATCGACAAGTGACAGCACTAGTGTCATCTATTTTTAGCTTGTAGGAGCAGTTATAAAGACCTTTGGAGAAAGACCAACAAATCTTTGTGGTTCACCATCGTGGGGTCGAGAACTGAAGGACAAATCAGAACTTAACAAGAAAAAGAATGAGGTATAATATCTACGGTATCAGTGAGGGAAGGATTAACTCCAAATTACATGTCCAAATAAATCAGCTCTTCAGAATGACTGCTCTATATGTTTTGTAAAAACGAAATAAAATAATTCAGTTCCTTTTCAATAATAAGATTATAGTGTGATCTTATTGAAAAACATTTTATTCATTTTTACCTGTGCGAAAAATTGTAAATGGAGAGGAGAAAGTACATACAAATGACTCATAAAATACTACTGTACCAGATAAAAAAGGTAATAATTACTAGATATTATTTCTAGTAGATAGCTAGCTTATTCTTGGTGGTGATTGTAAAATTATCATTTTTCTTTCATTTTGTTAGGAACTTGCTAAGGAGACAACAGTTCCAATGAATTACTACCAAGTTTATGGACAGGTTGGGGTGTGAGAAAAACATTTTTCGCTTATTTTGTTTCACTCAATCAGTGCAAAATTACTCTTATCAAATGCTTAATGTTAGGTTTTCTTTTATTTCAGCTTATAAAGCATTTGCCTCATGATTGTATCATAGTTAATGAAGGAGCAAACACGATGGACATTGGTCGAACTATGATCTCAAATCACCTCCCTAGGAACAGGTATTAATAATACTAAATGAAAACAGAGCAAGCAATCCATTGTTAAGTCACTAGTGAACACAGAAACAAGATTGCTACTGTTGTGAAGCATCTACTTTTTGTTATCTTCAGTTGGCAAAGCTGGCACTGTATAAGAAGACAGCACTAGTACCCAGCCATATGTAAACTCAAACCTCTCACATCAAAATCGAATGGACTAAAGCACTACATGACTGTGTACCTTTAACATTCATTACCTTACATATTATGTTGGTGGGCAACCATGTGACTGTCCCTCAATCACTTGGCCATTAGCGTAATAGGTGTAATTCAGTGTAATTCCAAACAAACCTGTCAAAAGGATTTGCTAACTTCTCAGCCGTCTACTTTAATCCACTCACAGATCCAGTAGCTTCATTTTCAGATGGCCTGAGGCTGCTTAGGAAGGAGTGAGTCGTCAGAGAATAAGCAAACTCAGTCCATCTGGGAATCTGGATATAGAGCCAGCTACCTATCAACAGTGCTTTTAGGAAAAAGAATCAAACGCATTTCGCCCAGTTGTCAAGTAATCCCTGCAGAAAACTCATTTTGCTAGTCAGGGTTAGGTTATGTCTGGTGGGTGCCCTTGCATTTCCCTGCTAGCATGGTTTTCACTGGACAACAGATTTGTAAAGTAACAGCTTATCTGTTGGCTGCCCCTTAATAAGATTAAGAAACTTTTTACAACTTCTAAACCAATCAAATTGTGCAGAGGATCATTATGTGTATACATGTGTAATAATACAAAGTGTTCTCTTATTATTTGTCCCAGGCTAGATGCAGGCACATTTGGCACAATGGGAGTGGGAACTGGTTTTGCCATCGCTGCTGCCCTGTTAGCTGAAAGTCAAGCTGATAGATCCAATCCCCCCAGGAGGGTGGTGTGCGTACAAGGTGACAGTGCTTTTGGGTTTTCAGGAATGGAGCTTGAAACTGCATGCAGGTAGGGTGCATCTGAAAAGATTGGCCACATGATGGCTACACTGATTTAAACCTAATCTCTCCTGGTGATGTTGATACATATTTAAGGAGACAGGTCATGAGAATAAAGAAAATCATCAATGGGGAGATTGTCTTGATGCACCACCGAATTCTCACAACTACTTTTAAAAGAAACATATGCCAACGTGCAAGGAGAATTGATATTTTGAGCTTTGAAGTGACAGTGCTAAACAGCCGGAATGACTAATCTCTGATTTTGTGGTAGATTAAAACAGTTTTCAAATGTCAATAAAGTTTTGAGTACCCATATTATGCTCTATGCAGTTTCACATGTGCCAAATTTTTCTTTACAAATACAACCTGAACTGAGTTGTGCTACTAGACTACTACACTTAAAGAGGTACTCTAAAAGATTGAAGCCACCTAGTAAATAAATAAAGAACACGTTTTTATTCTTCTCAGGTACAATCTGCCAATTGTTTTCATGATCGTCAACAACAATGGTATATACAATGGTGTAGACGAGGAGAGCTGGAGCGAGCTTGGGGTGGACCCTGCAAGAGGGTAAGATCACGTGATATCTCCTTTGGATCTGTTAGCCGAACAACTGCAATGCGTTGCCCCCAATGGCAAGTGTTGCGCCTGGCATACATTTCTTTGTGAAAAAAATTATCAACTATGAGGTCCCATCTCTACTTGTGGACTGTCGCTTTGTAGTGATACTAGAGGCTGTGTGTTTCCATGATATCGAGACCTCAGTATAACGGCTGGGAGGTCAATCTCCCTGGCAAATTCAATCATGCCAGGCAGTTCAGAGGCTAGAAACCAGACTAAAGGACAGTCTCTCTCTCTTTGATTGATTGACAAAATAAGAAAAGCGTGACATCGGTAAAAAGGTCATTATTCCTAATCCATACATAAATTTTGATATCTCTCTCTTACGGCGAAAATCGGAGAAGATAACCCTTGTTTGTTTTCTCTCTTTCTCTTTAGGGCTCCACCCACAGCTCTTCTACCAAAAGCTCGTTATGAGCGAATCATCGGAGCGTTTGGAGGCAAAGGTTTCTTTGCGGAAACTCCAGATGAACTGAGAACAGCGTTAGAGAGCGCCTTCGAAGAGACGAGAAAGATTAAAAAGCCCGTGTTGATTAACGTCATGATCAGTCCTTATGCTGATCGTAAGCCTCAGGTACTCAAATCATCGTTAGTTGTTCGTCTCTTCCAGGCATTCGGTTATGTAGTTAGTAACACGCTGCAAGGCCATAGCTAGTATGAAGCGAACCGAAAGCACTTGCCTCAGTCATTTTTTCTTTCTTTGTTTTTTGGGGTTATCCCACTGTTGTGTGTAAGGGCTTTTTTACAAGGAGAGAGGGTTATCCTAGCAAGCGGGTTACCGTAGCGCTCACACATTTCCTCTTTTTTGTCTTCGTCGCGTTTACAAGGTAGCAAGGGTTACCCGGGTAGGCGGGTTACTCTATCTGCGTGCTATGGTTCCTCTGGTAGGCGGGTTAACTTTTTCCCTTGTAAACACTCCAGGTAGGGTTAACTTTCTACTTGTTTCCAGACCCTTTGAGTGTAACCGCGCATTAAGTTTTCCTGGGTTGCAGAGTTACCCTACCTGTGAAATTTTGCTTGTAAACCCGGGCTATCTTTTGCCCTCCAGCTAGGGTTAACCCGCTTGCCAGGGTGACCCTCCCTCCTTGTAAACAGGTCCTAAATGTAATTAACATAAACACACTTAATACGTAGTAAGAGAATTTAACCATGGACATGGCCTCAGTCATATTTCTTCTGACTACGGCCCTGCGCTACGGCCCGTTCGCAGTGAACTAGTTTTTGTTTTCTTTGGAGGTTCGAGAAATCGGGATTCCATCGTGTTGGTTCTTCTTTCTATGAAAAAGATTTCGTTGATGACCAAGTTCTTTTCAATCTTTCTAAGTTTAATAGAAGGTTGATAGAATTGTCTTGTTCTTTTTCTGCAGGAGTTCTTTTGGCTCACACGCTCGAAGATGTAATGTTGACTCGGTGAAGAGTGTAGTGTTTTGGGGCGACCAAGGAGAGGAGAGCAGAAATAAACACACAAACACAAATGAAAACGCAGCCTGCGAGAGGGTTCTCCACTCGGGGCATGCAGATAGATTGCCTTGTCATGTCTCACTTAGGGAATATTGAATAGATAGATTGCCTTACCCACTCCCCTTATTTGTTCTTCTGAGGGAATTAGCCCTCCCCCCTTCCCTTTTGTATTTCGGCATAGAGAATTCCGAACGATGTATTGCGTTGTTCACTCCCCTTATTTGCTCCCCAAACGGGGAGGGTTATGGATAAGTAGAATTCAAGGGTTTCATCGAAAACTGAATAGAATGAGTGATTTTCAGTTTAATGGAGCCCGACAATACAGTGATGTTTAAGCTGGAAGGCGTCCAGCCATGAAAGCCGAACTGCTGAATCAACCGTCTGGATTTTTAATACAAAGAGTAATTTATAGTGCTTCTTAAATACCCAAGAGGACAATGTGAAAGCTATGAATGAGAAATGAAGAGGGAATTCTATACAAATGAAATTCAAACAACATTTAGACCAAATAAAAAATGCTTTTTTGCGTGAAGAGTCCAAGGAATACTTGTCTCACTAATAGGAAGTAAAATCTCCACATTAGCAATCTTTCTTGTGAAAGAGAAATAAGCTCTAATCATTGCTGGAGTTCAAGGGGTAAAATATTGTATAGTGAACATAAGATTTCTGGTGAGCTAACCTGCACACCAGGCTTTCAGAAGGGAATGGCAATAGGAGAGGACAGGAGGAGAGAACGATTTTGACCTTTCTCTCTGATGCTCCCACCTCCCTTCCCAATTGCAAAGCCTTTCGCAAGAAGGTTGTTTTTATCCCAAACCCGGACAGCGGAAAAAGCCAACAGTGTCCTGGTGTTATGGAAGCTCATGTTGAATTGTCCAACATATTTTTTGGAAGGAAACTATTTCACGAATCTCCTGCTTGTAACGATTCTCTGAGACTTGCTATATGTGCTCGTCCCAATAGCCATTTTCGCTTCTCGTAGCCGGCGGGAAACGAACTTTTCTCGTGCCAAGGCTCCACCGGTAAGAAAAGCGGCTTGACCATGAGAAACGGGCGGTACATTGAAAAGCTACCGTAAATCAGTGGTATGACACAAAAGATTCGCTCTGATGAAGGCTCGAGCACCAGCCGAAACGTCTTGTACGAAACATAAAAAAAAAAAAAAAAAAAAA